AAATAAGTCTGTCCGGCGTCAAGTTGTCGGCTAGACCTACATATGACACACTGGGTGGTTGAAAAATACTATATCAAGGAACTTTATTAAGCAGGTGAACACTTAAAGCAAACCAGTGATCGGGCAGTTTTCTTAAGTGTAACGGCATTTAGAATATATATATATATATATATATTATATATATATATATATATATATATATATATATATATATATATATATATATGTATATATATATATATATATATATATATATACTGAATGCTGCTCCAGACAAAGCTTTGCTTAAAGGGACACTAACGGCAGCTACTAAGGCGACGTTGATTGTTGAAATAGCGGTCCAGAAACCACCTCGTAGTGTTAGTTTTTTGCCAAGGAAGGGCCTATTTTGAAATAAAATCACGTTTTACTGGTCCGCACCGAATGAGTGCACTTCAAATTACCCGCCTCAAGAAGCGTAGCTACCGGACCGGCTCACGTCACTGTTGCCGTGTACAACGTTGCCCGACTTTACTGTGCTAGTACCAGCAGATCGAAACCAGTGGGAGCCACAGCAGCAAAAACGACCAGTTGATGAATTTCCCGCCATTGGCTCCGAGATTAGCAGACGTTTTTTGGTTCAACTAAGTCCCGCTAGATGACACCACATTTGCAGTGTAACTACGCGAAAATTGAATTTTCGATCTACTCGCGCCATTGCCCATTGGTAACGTCTGATGGTTCTTTTTTCCACGGATCAAGCTGAAACGAACAAGCAGAATTTCATTGCGTCTCCTGTCGCACGGAAGGTTTTTACTTAGTGCAGCTAGATCGATTACTAGTAAATAATTCTAGGCGGTTTCGTCTGATGTCATTGGGATCATTTTGAGAACGTCATACTGCGGCGTATGTGTTCTTGTGCATTTAGCTTAACTTCTTGCCCCGCCGTGGTGGTCTAGTGGATAAGGTACTCGGCTGCTGAACCGCAGGTCGCCGGGATCGAATCCCGGCTGTGGCGGCTTCATTTACTATGGAGGCGGAAATGTTGTAGGCCTGTGTGCTCACATTTGGGTGCACGTTAAAGCACCCTAGGTGGTCGAAAGTTTTCGGAGCACTTCACTACGGCGTCTCTCATAATCATATGGTGGTTTTGGAACGTTAAACCCCACATATCATCATCATTACCTTAACTTCTCGACAATTAGGACACTGCTGTTGACAATATTGTCGTTTTGGATGTTGTCATGCATTGAGCTTTCACTCTGACGGAAAATTGTTATTTGACTTTAGTGTCTCTTTTATGCTGCTTTATAGGACACGCTAGTGCCCTCGTTTCTGGTTGACGATAGGACACAGCAATGTCGGGAACGCAAGGACACGTTAAAAAACGTGACTGCACAGCTTTTACTGTGACGTGAGAAAAAACTGAAGGAGTATAATTTTGGTATACGCTGCAAGTGGTTCAAAATGAACTCGAGTTTCAGCACAAAATATACAAAAAGAGACGAAGCACGGCACGCAGCGTAAAGGACCAGCGTCAACTTACAACTCAGCGCTGTTCCTCTGGTCACGCGCCTTGATATTGGCCTCACGTTGTTTTCACTAAGACAACTTTATAATAACTCTACGTCGCTGTATTGCCCAACAAGTCATAACTTGTGCCCATCTTGAACAGTGAAGTGCACGAATTCAGTAAAGGATTATCGGGTCACGATATTCAAACGTTCGTCAACGCAGAAGCTGTAACAGGAACGTCGTCCCCGAAATGACACACGTACAATTCCGGTGTTCACACGTAATCGCATTTATTCATCTTCTCGCCAACAAGGTGAGGTGTGTGTGCGTGTGCGTGAATTCGTCAGCGGCCGTCGGCATAGCCGCTGAGAATATACTAAACAAACGAAGACACAGAATACGGCACACCCGTCACACCCGCGTATCTCGAGTGCGTCGTGAAAAAAAAAGTACTGAAGAAAAGAATAAAAAAATGCCTACAAACAGCAAAAAGTCTTTTGGAAGACGCAGACCGTCATCGCCTATACAGGGAAGCACGCGAAGACACAACGGAAAAAATATATTAGAAAATTCACGTAAAAAAACACAGGTATCGTCGTGGACTCGTTTTAGGCACTTCCTCGAAGGCGTCGCTGTCGAATCTCGCTCGTCCTTCCGTTTGTAGTCTCCGCTTCACATGTTTGGTCACGAGGCACATGATGGTTTACGGAGCGTACTCCAACACCGGTAGTTCGTTAGCACAGTAAACAACTTGGAAGGTGGAGGGGGTCAAGGAGGAGGTTAAAGGAAGAGGTTGCGGGCAATCTCGGAGATGAACAGCACAAAACACAGCAGAACAGGAGACGCGGCGCACCATAGTGTCCCATTGTTCGGAGGCGCGAGGCAGTCGTCCGTGAACACGTCGAACGAAGCGACGACGGGAGGACGACTACGCCCTCGTCCCTTTTCCTATGCTGGTTCAATCAACCCATAGCGCGGCTGTTCGGCCTTCTTCCTCCATCACCGACGACGTCCGCGTTACGGGGTGAGCGGCGAGAATACGTCTTTCTTGCTTTTTTCAGATAAAAAAAAGGTATATGATTCAGCAATCAAGGACTCGCTGACCAAGAAGTCGAACTCGCAAGTTAGAGACATAAGGGTGATCGAATCGTCTTCCTAGGTGCACTCTCAGTAAGGTTACCCAATCACAGATGTGATCAAGGAATTAAGCCACGATAATTCACGACATGTGTGAAGCGTTGCGTTTCTCTCGAACACGTGCTCCCCTTGCGCATGGCTTCTATGCTTAGTCTTTTCAGGATTGACAGTGTACCGACACACCTTAAAGACAATACACCAGTGCGCTCGGAACTCACTGCCAGTAAATAAATAAACGCACGGGTCGACGAGAAGGCTGAACGGTTTGCCGATTAGACTCATTTCGAAGGCGTAATCAGAGACACGAGTGACTTTAACTGCAAGTTCATTTTGTTCACAAAAGGAAAACTGCGATGTCATGTGGCTGCGCTCCCAGTGGGACGCTGGTTACATAAAGCACTTCTTCTAGGGGAAAGAGAAAAAAAAATAGGACGCCAAACGACACCGTGATTCCCTTTTCGAAATATTCAAACAACGGGTCATCAAGACAGTTTGGCCACTTCGCCACAGCACTCCTCGAGACGACCGAACTTGCAGCGCAGTTTAAATGACGTCATGTTCGTTAGCTCGCCACTAAGACCACAGTTTGAACACCTTTCATGCGCACACTCAGACACGGCGTCGCACACGCTATACAATGTATGAAAGCAGTGTTACGAACGATTGGTTAGTAGCGCACGTTACGCATGGCTGCATACTATATATACGTATACTATCCGCCCGAAGCTTCCAAACGCGTTCACCTACAGGCACAGTGGCAATGAGTAAATGGCGTCAGAGCTGTGTGCTCTATTCAGGTCACGATGTGTGTATTTACAGTGATGGCTGAAATTGTTACTCGCATAGAAAGCACAATATATATATATACGACATCGCTCTCTCTCTCTCTTTCTTAGCTGCGTTAAATGAGAGCTAAGTGCTTGTCAATAGCAGTTAATTTGTATCGATTATGATGCATTGGGTGGGTTTACTACGAGCGATGAATGCACTGCGCGCACGCGGTTGAGTAGCCGCGCACTGTAAACGATGTACGCAGCACATGCACGGCATGACATAACCGAGCTTTCTCTTCTAGTGTTTCCTTACGTTTGGCGCAACTAAGGTGAGCTATTCTCGTACTGTACATCGCATGTTTCAACATGACTTTGCTATTAGGGTTACCTGTACTTCTCGCTGGCCCCTGGAGCACTCGTTTTGGCCTTTTAATGCGGCCAGTGCTAAGTGGAACGTTGCGACTTCGAACGAAGCAGCTATTTGTGATGCTGCTAGTCAGGTTGTAACGCGACCACGACTGCATGCGTGAGGTATACGTCTTGGCAGACTGATTCAAAAGCAGTGAGTGTAGACATAACAATAGTCAAAATAAAGTTGCTTTCTGTGAAAAGAGTTAAAAGGTGCTGACTTGTAAACATGGAGCGACAACGTGAACATACATTAATGTGACTTGTTTCTTTTTTTAGAGGAATTGTCATAGGGAACTCATCAAGACATTATTGCTGAAGAACGAGCAAACCATGAAGCCTGCATATCTAAACTTCAGTTCCCTAGCACAGTCACTTATGTATAGTTGTATAAGGAACACCGAATGATCTGAACTTTATTGCCAGAAAGAACTGTGCGGAGTGTAGACGTCACATATTTGGTAATTGGGCACTCAGCATGACTAAAGCTATCCATGAACACTGTTTGGCTGATAGAGGGGAGATGCTTACGGCTGGGGAATAAATATTGGTCGGCAGGTTAGTCGACCAGAATCAGGTATAAGTTCAGTTTGTTTACAGAGGGGCCTGTCACTTCACTCGCTTCGAAAAATGCTCAAGTGGGACTACGTCGGAAATGTATCATCTCGCGCAACCTATTGTACACTGTGAAAAACATTGATGTTCAGTGCGGTTGACGAAAGTGGAACGTAGCCTTGGAGAGAGGATGATTGTCATGAGGTAAGAAAATAGACTGATAATCTAGGCGATTTGCAAAGAACTGCCTTCGATGCCATAGCAAACATCGATCGACTATACACGTCCTGCTTTAGCTGTTACCAAGCACTTTGTTTTTACTCTCCTTGCTGTTACAACTACATGACCCAGCGGTGCGCGCTATCAGTAATCACTACTGCGTCTGGTTCCTATAGCTGATAGCTAGAGACCAGACACAGCGATGATTACTGACAGCACGCACCGTCAAGTCTTTCCAAGACTTGACCCTGCTCGCGGCTTTTTCACTTGCATGATAAGGTATTTCCTCTCCTTCTTAGAAGACGTTCACTCTTTAATCACTTGAGTCATAGTGCAAGGGCCGGTCTACAGGAGCCTTCGATCCAGCTTTCGATCATTAATCGAATAGAATTTTGTCGAGCAGCATGCCGTCTTCAGGAGCTCTGGGGGCCGCTTGTTTGACACTTTTCGAAAGAGACAAGCAGCAGCGTTATGTACACGATCGGGCCACCGCTGTACACCGCGGCATTGCATACTCCGCTTACGTCAAAGGGCCCAGACAGGGGTTAGCATCAATACATATGTACACCTATATGAACTCGGAGATGACCGTCAGCCTCCCGGCAGGTCCTGCGGGCACATGCCACTGGCTGGTGGGGCTGCCGATCCTGCGGATAGCAGTTGATGCCGCCAAGCCGATGCTGCTGGAAAGGAAACCTGCGGACGGCCGTGAAACCATCGTCGATGCCTTCGCAGTCGAAGACGAGCTTGTGCTTCTTCAGGCCGATCCTCTTCTTGGCCTTGCGCACATAATTCCTGCGAATGACGAACGATGAACGTCCGTTTTTCATGATGGCCTCCATGACCTTCTGGCCCTAGACTATAAGGGTCGCCCGTGGTTGCCGGATCCTTGACCAGAACGTCCTCGACCGGCACGACTTCGGGTTCCTGTTCAGCGGGCGGATTGTACAGAGACATGAGTGACTCGCTCCTGGGCTGTCGCCACGGTGCCCGGAAGCCGTCTCCCGCTCGGTCGTCGTCACCGTCCTCCATCTTGTCGATCAGGTCGAGGTCGTTCATCGAGTACGAAGCGTTACGGGAACCCGCGATATTGCAACAGGACTCCTGGTACGGCGGTGGGTCCGTGGGTTTCTGGATGCGGCCGTAACCTCCGCAGCCATTGTTGTCATTCGAAGGATGGTGCTGAACCACGCCGTACGTAGCATACGCGACGTCCGAGCCGGTCGAAGGCCGCATGCGCACCTCACCACCGCACGGCCGGGTATCGTGGAACTCGAAGTCGTCGTTGGCATCCGTCGTGAAAGAGCCGGCGTCGTCCGAGTCGGACTCTTCCTCGGGAGCACTGAGCGTGGCGCAGCTCTCGCCGGCTACGGTGGACCTGCAATAATGCGAGATTGCTTAGAATCACTGCTTCATGCGTACCTGTTCTGTAAAAGCTCTCTAAAAGTGAAGTTCTCACAATAAACACTCATGTATAGGTGACATACGCCGGTTCATTTGGATAACGTGCCTACTTGATGCACCACTCTCTTTTCACAGTTAAAGCCAATAAACACTTATTTATTTTATTGCCACTTGGTTGACTAGCCAGCTTAGTCGTAGGTTACACGAATGAACTCGTAATAGTACCACAACATACAGTGTTTTTTTCTGTGCAGAGAAAATAGTTTTTGCATCAGAACACCAACAGTGAGCATAGGTTGACTATGCAACTGTGATAAGGTTAGTAAACATCTTGGTCTAAACAAACGCATCGAGCATTTGCTCTTCGCTGGACAATTGAAGTTTTCCTAATGAAACCTATGCACCTTGCTGAAAGTGTATTCTATGTACGAAAAAAACATGGCGTTTACTTTCACTTCGATAGCGTGAGTTACATCCTCACCTAAGGCTGAGTGTGTCCGACAGCGTCGCGTATATGTGGTCCTCTTCCTGGGCCTGCTGGATCCACGCGGGTAGGTCTTGAGGCGTCAGCATGGCCACCTGGTGGCGCCGCTCGTCGTCATCGGGTCGCTGACTTCTCGGAATCGTAGTCTACGGCTGGTATGTGGACCTTGACCGCCGAGTCGATGGAACAGCAGCTCCCAGCGTCTTCCAGGGGCCGTTTTAGCGGCGATCCCGGACTGTCGGGCGACTGCTGCTGCAGCTGCTGCTGTTGCAAGTGTTGCTGGTGCTGCAGCTGGACGGCGCAGCTCCGCAAGTAGGCCGCCTTGTCGAGCACACAGTCAACGTTGTAGATGCCCGGAACCATGTAAGTGGGCGGCGGCAGGCCCGGAATTCGGGGCCGGTCGCTAGCTCTCGAAGAACTGGTGCGACCAGGCCGGGTCTTGGTCACGCGGCCGTAGTTGGTCGATGAGCGCTTGTAGTTTGTGATGATGCCTATGGGCGCCACGGGACCCAGGTGCTTGATGTAGCTCTTGCCGTCTCCCGGGTACAACCGGTAGCGGTTCTCGTCACCTGCGTTGATCGAAAAGAAGGGAACGTGAACGTGGCTGAAGGAAACGCACATCACTCGCGTACAGAGAAGGGAGTAGGAGATGGACAGGTTTGGACCCCTTCACCGAATTTTTCAGTTTTGCATGTGTATACATACACTCATACATAGAAACGCACGCAAGAACATGCATAATGTATAGTTGAATTCCTGCCGCAAAGGACTTCAGAGTACGCCGTATCACACAATGAAATTTCAAATATGATGCATGCCCCGGATTTCCACCGTTGATATGTACCTGTAAGACGCTTATAATTGGGAGCGATATAGGTTAATTATGAAACCTATTGCTGAAAAAATGGTCCATATCTTAAGAGCGTCAGCCCATGTTGGTACTTAGCTGTTATAAATATGCGTGCCAACGAAAGAATTCAACTGTGCCAAACCCGTATTTCTAAGAGGTATACCTCTGATCTAACCTTCCAGCTATATTGTGTCGATGATATATATATATACACAATACGCAAATCGTTGCTTAGAAATATGACACGACTGTGCTATTCATATAGAAACACGTTCACATTGTAGCTGCATGGTGTGACAAACATAAGCTGGATATTAACGATGAGCATGACAGCAATCGTTACATTAACTTGGCCGGCATATCGCGTTATCGGACGGATTATATGAATGCGCAGAATATGTAACAACACTGTTTATTGTACGAAGCGAAAGAATTGCGATCCCTTTCATAAAGCCATTTCAATGTGTTCGAAGTAGTGCAACGGCTACCATATCTATACTCTGATTAGAAGAGCTGCGTGCCACATACGACATTGTTTTCAGGAACGTTTCAGAGACCGTTATCGGGAAAACTGCAACAGGCCCTCTAAACGAATGGTTGGGTCAGCACAACCAGCACTCAACAAGAGCACGACGACCTGTCTGTGATGTTAGGACTATAATTACCAAGCCATTGGTTTCGGAAACGCGGGCTGCGTGTGGTGCGCTTGAATTTGCATATATGCTCTGTGTGCAGGCGTAACTTAATTTTGAGAGGACGAACGAATTCGCAATTAATGAGCGAGACTTGCCTCGAGTCACCAATTAGCGTATATTATGCTCAACGTACAAAATGACCAGGGCAGGCTGCCAGCAAGCCTAATTGGCACGTGCTATAGAAGAGAGATGTGCGTACGCGATTGTTAATTGTGAGGCCGCGCCCTTGGTAGCTGTTATTCACGCATCGTAATAGGGGGCGCGTTAACCACTGGAAGATATGAGATAAGAACACTTCGGCCAGGTCAGCTTATTAACGTGAGTTAGTAAGGAAACAAAACGAAATGTGCAGGAGATGAAGGGTGCAGCGGAAATTGCAGTTTACACGCGCTACGTCCTTCGTAGAGACCGTAAAAGTGACGACAGGTTATGCAGTTGAAACGAGTATCATACGTTGCCCGATGCACATTATCTGAAAAAGTGGGGAGAGTGAAAATTGTTGCGGGTGCTTAATTATGCGATGTTGGCGGCCATTGGAAGTACAGCAGAAAGTTGTTTTAGCAACGTCCTGTTAAGTAACATGCATGAACAACGTAGCCAGAGTTGGCTATTCGGCAAGCAAAGTTTCCAGCTCTTGACTACTACCGTGTTAAACAGTCGACGCTGCAGCGCACAGCTCAAACACACACAAAAAAGGATGCACCAATAGAACACACAGAGGACGGGCGCGAACTAATAACCGCGTATTTGTCGAAGAACGACAAATTTATACCCAGAGGGACAAGGTAGATCAAATTAGCATCATGCGTGCTGCCCACTACAAAATAGGAGCTCTCCTTATCACGCCCTCAGGTTTGTGGTAAAGAAAAACTACAAAAGCACCAGCGAATTTGCCCTAACGAGGGATAGATATCTGTCTTATCAGCCTTTCAAGCACGTCGCCACTTGATAACCTTCTGTTTCTTTCTAATTGATTGAACACGACAACCCTAATCCTCGATATCTCGCTTATCACGCGGAAGGATGTAGAGCTAGCTATACGAACAATTATCGCACATACAACAATAACCCAAGCAGCCCGCTTGCACTCGTGAAGGCGTTAATAATTTATGTTTCCATTCTTGGTAACATCCCAAAGCACTGCGCATTCGATGGTGCGGGTAAGTCGATCTTCTTTTTACTCGATTGCGCTCCTGTCATGCAGTCTATTAAGGCTACACTGCGTTAGGATACATCCCAACAGAGTTCTTATATACCACAACCATCACATCTGGCATCAACAGTGATGTATGTATGTCACACAGGTCACGTTAATTAGGGAGGCGATCGCCGGGCTAATTCCAAGAGCCGAAGTATCGGCCCCCCGAACCGCACCACGAAAGCGTGGACAATTTAGAAGTGGTCCTTATTGGCGCGCCATCAGACGCCGGCTGTGGCCCAAAGAACAAGTCAGAGCCGAGAGTTGATAAACAAACAAAATTATATTCTCAATAATGGCAGATCGAAAACAATACACGAGTATGCACACTCCACAATAGTTGAGTACAATATGTCACCAATCAACCAACGTACTACACAGTACAATCAGCCACACTCAAAACAACGGACACAGACAACAACTCACACTACAATGCAGTCGCATGCATTTAACAACCAAGACACTTTAAGACTAAAGAGATAGAAAACCTATTCAGTCCAAAGTCCTTGGAACAAAAGTCTGAATGATACTCTTCCGAGAATCACTCACTCAAAGTCCAGCGTTGTTGTCGTTCCGCTGCCCCCTGAAGTTTCTCTTCCAGGAAATCTCGCCGAAGTTTCTCTTCCAGGAAACCTCGCGTCTTCAAATGGCCACTCTCCAAGCTTCAAACTTCTTCGCCGAAACCACGTCGGCTTCACACACGCAACTGTTGCCGCGCGTCTTCGCTCGATAGCCGTAAACACACGCTCTTGCCTGTAGCTCGAGCCTTCACCCCTCAGGTGGAAATCCTCTTCTTCTTCTCCTGTTTGGTCGCTACGGACAAAACCTTCACCGACTACACGGCAGAATCCCTACGCGCTCCGGCGCTAGCTTCCGTCTTCTCCTGCTCTCTCGTCTCGGCTGCTCGATTAAATACCTTCCGCGCGAGATTCCAGAAGGTTCTCGTCGTTTCGTCGGCGTGATACGCAGCGAAGGCTGGGGAGAGGGCGAGACGGTTGGAATGCCCTCCGCGATGGATGACTCAGCCCGGCGTGACCACGCCTCTTTCGTTCTAGAAATTTCGCGCGCTTGCTCGGCCGCCGTTGTGGGGTGAGGAGGTTCGTCGGCGAAGCCACGCTTCCGAGGGGAGAGCGCGCGCCCGAGGAGCCTTGGATGTTTGTTTTCTTTTTTTTGACCTCCCGGCGTCTCTCCCGCGCGTTATCGCAAGAATTTGGCGGTGCGCCCATTTTTAGCGCTCGTTCTGTGACAATGTACCACAATGCAGGAAACGGTCCACTGTATTATAGGTCCGTTCTGATATGAGCGCGCCACTTCCGCCAGCACCCGCACAATCCAATGCCGTCACAATAAACGCCACGCTCGCTGGCTCGTTAGTGCTTCCTTAATAGAGGAATAATACCTGCATTGACTCATGCAGCGATTGCTTGTTTCATAGCATCAAGCTGCTGAAGCAATGCAACCGCGTCCGTGCGAAACAACGATTTCGGTAGTCCGCTGTGTCGACACGATCCGTGTATAGCGGGCTACGATCTGTGCTAGTTTTTCTCCCTCAGTCACGGATCGTGCATGTTACACCCGTCGGCTATCACGCCTTTCGACGGACACGAATGCAGCCTGTCACCTACTATAAATGTGCGAGCGTCGGCCAGTGTCATATACGTGTACACAGTTTATGCATATCTGTAAGCTAGTTCGTGCCTCACGCGTCCATCACGCTCATTATACGTATATATTTATGTAAAGATAAGAAAAATAGCTGCCACACGTGAGGGACGTCCAGTGACCTTACACAAAAGTAGTCAAGGCCACTGTATTATGAGCACTATATGAGCGGCACCAAGATATCTGCCGTTCTCAAACTCGTTCGTTCATGTACTTCTAGCTGCGTTCTAGGGATTGTGGATTGAAATCCAAACAACCTTACAGTAGGGTCACGTTCGGGGCTTGCGAAAGAGTTATTTTGTATCCAGAAATCTTCGGCTGGCGTGTTTTCCTAACTGAAGGGAGGAGCTATGATGGAATGCCTTCACTATATGCATGCTGTGTTTGGAAGTGTAAAGAAAAGCATGCTTTGTATCTTCGTTGGAACATCATCGTTTCCCTACAAAAGCGCATGGCAGGTACGCCAGCCGTACGAAATTTTGTCAGGCACACATTGATGATGTCGAAGGCATACGACAGAAAACTGGCGTTTACGGAAGGTCTGCGTGCCGTACACACGCCGTACACACGCGAGAATACTTTACAGCGCAACGGGTTAGATACGGATAGAGAAGGGACAAGCGCTCAACTCAACTGAAGTTTATTTGGAAAAGGAAAGAAGATATATAGGTAACAATGAGTCATGAATACTGTGTGCATGTACACATGTGTTGCAACACATGATTCATGCCTTGTCTAACAAGTAGTTATTGTTTTTTCACCTTGGAGAGTGATATGTGGATGACTCATGCACTTGTTATTGGATCTAATGAAAAATGCTTCGGTTATTTCACGCATGGCTATATCTCACTGACATCATTGCCTTCTTCGCCTACGTTTGCACGAGCAAACGTAGGTGAAGAAGACCACGAAACATTTCCTGCCTCACTTACGGCGGTCATCAATGCCATCATTATTTTCGCTGACTCTAGACTCAGTCTCGTCGAAAAAGTAGCAACGTTCTACTCGGCGCTCTCTTAAATATTACCGGATTAGTCGTACTCTCAATTTATTCTCGCTTACTGCAACTAGGCGCGAGCGGGTGGAGACAGAAGTCCATCCAAACCGCACCAATACCAGGCCCAGTTAAGATGCACACATTGTGTCAAGTGAATTGTGCCAGTGAATTTATCCATTGCAGGTGGGTGGGGGTAAGGGGTTTCTACACGTAGTCTTTACATGAACCTGACGACCGGCTTTCAGCCCGACAAGCTGGCTAGCACGAACGTTGTGATGCTCAGGTAAATCAACACATAGAGGGGACGAAGCAGCCATGCACATTTATGTGCGACATAAAGTCGATGTGGCGTTTGAGAGCTGGCTCAAAATCGATTGCGCAATGCTATATCCTTTCTGAAGTTTTATTATTTTCTTTCGTTTAGGCATGCAGAAAGGAATAGCCGTTGTCAAGAAATGAAGGCAACTCATTCATATAAGTTTATTTCGATAATAAAAAAAAACGTTAGTGCATGAAATTGGCGAAATTGTGCCTCTTAATGTATCACAGTGGCATACACATAGCTACGAACATATCAGGTCATACTTCTTAACGCGTAAAGTTTATGCTGTATATGCGACAACGGTGTGTTCGTGCAAAATAAGCCACAACCTGTTTTCCGGCATTTTCCGTTCCAACAGCAAGTGCAAGCGAGCATGTGGCAGCAGGCAGTCCTGCTTTCCCAGTGAGACGTGCCAGCGTTGTTTGAGTCAACGCCACCTTTGCATCGCGCGGAATGTTTATTGATTTATATCTGGAGTTTAACGTCCCGAAACCACCATATGATTATGAGAGACGTCGTAGTGGAGGGCTCCGGAAATTTCGACCACCTGGGTTTCTTCAACGTGCACCCATATCTGAGCAAACGGGCCTACAGCATTTTCGCCTCCATCGAAAATGCACCGCCGCAGCCGGGACTCGATCCCGTGACCTACGGGTCAGCAGCCGGGTACCTTAGCAACTAGACCTCCGCGGCAGATCAACACACTGAATCTAAGACGACGTAAGTGGAAAGCCAGATCTGAAAGTGAAGAAGATGCCTGCGGCGGCAAAGAGAGTGCGCCTCCACTGTGGCAAAGGGCGAATATAGATGATGCCGTCGCCAACAAGGCACACGCCTCAAGGAGTTCGTTTCGCGAATCGAATCCCGGCTGCGGCGGCTGCATTACCGATGGAGGCGGAAATGTTGTAGGCCCGTGTGCTTAGATTTGGGTGCACGTTAAAGAACCCCAGGTGATTGAAATTTCCGGAGCCCTCCACTGCGGCGTCTGTCATAATCATATAGTTGTTTTGGGACGTTAAACTCCACATATCAATTGATCAATAGGGCTTAGCTGCGAATGTTATTTATTGTACAGACAAATTAGAGCGATCGAGACCATGTGTTTCTAGGATAGTTGCAATCCGGTGCCGTGCCAGCCATAATGCGTTCCATCGTCCCACTGTGTTTCGAATGACGTTTCCGCCAGCATGCATGTATGGTTTTTGAGTCTTTCACGTGTGTGATAAGCGCTATAGTAGCCTGACGCTATGCACCCCTGTCGCGTTCAACTGAACGCGTCTTCTAGCTATGCAAGCTCAAGCAGTTTGGAGACTCCCCTAGAAAAAAGCGAATGCCTACGGCCCAAGGCCTTCAGCTCTGTCAGCGGCTGTGCTACTCTCACCGTTGAGAGGTCTCGAAATGCGTGCCGTTCACGCACCGAAGGTGAGCACTCAAGGTGGTCAAGTCAGCGCGCGTCCAGACAAGAGAGAGCCTTCTCCGGCTCACCCCTTTCTTTCCTGTCGTAGTGCTATTGTCTCGAGATGAAGAGCACTGACGTGGAGATGGAAAGGGAGCACTAATTACGATCTCAATTTGCTTACACGCCGTTTGCCGTAACGGCGAAAGCAACGTCGGGGCCCCTTTGTGGCGGCTCCACCTGTTTTGTCCAGTGCCGCCATCGTCGTCAAGAAACGACGCTTCGCAGACGTCGGCGGCGCGTGATGCCACGTCGTTTATACGTACGCAACAAGCGGATTGCGAAGTCGGCTGCAGCTTTGCTGATGTCTGTGTATACACTGCGCGAGTCCTTTGAACATCCCGACTGTTTGAGATGAGAATAATCGCGGCCTTCGAAGCGGAGACTTCAACACGCGAACCATTCGTTGGTGGTAAGCTCCATTGTGGGCGCTAAGTTCTTATAGTATGAGCAGTGTAGACTTCCACCACCAGGATAACAATAAGAAACGAAGTAAATTATTGGGCTTGCAGCCAATTGAGGCCGTGAAATAGCGCCCCTTGAAGGCAGTGCAGAAACTTCATTGAGTACGGTGAAGCATTATTGCGGCCGACGAGCGTGGGAAGTTTTCATTTGTGACCTGTTGGCCACTACACGTCCTGGGATATTGCTGAATTCTTCAACGTTTTTTTCATGCTACGAAAGTCCCTTCGTTATGCCGCCGTATTGTCTGAGACCAGTGAAGCATATTTACAAAGCATTAGTAAGTTTGTTCTATACATGCTGATGGACTGCCGGTGGCGAGAATGATTGCAGTCAATTGCTTTTCCTTATTTTAAAGTTTAGCCTGTGAAACCATGGTGTAATGTACGCTTCATGAGGGGGTCGTGAAGGTGAACTCTTAATCTCGCTAAATGAGATTTTGTAGGTGTCTAATACGACGTACGAGTGCACTTGCTGCAAGATAACGTCACTTAGACGCTTCCGTAATGCAGTCTCACTTCTCCTTACGCTCCAGTCAGTGCATGCAAATAGGTGACGGCCTGCCGTCGTCGCGGCCGCTTCCGCCGACGGTGAAGGTGAACGCGCCCCGCACCGCTGCTTGTGCATGGCGGCCCTGCGAGCCAGCAAACAAGGATGTCGCTCACTGCGGCAAGTCTCTGGTCCGCGACCTTCCTATTCCGATCAAGAGTCCGACCACGTCGAGGGTGCCGCTATCTGACAGGTCGCGGGGCGACCAGCCGGAACAGGGCGACTGGTCCCGGACAAGGCGCGACTTGCTTCGTCGGATGACTCCTTGTTGTTGCTGGTGTATTTTATAGCACAGCTCTGTGCATAAACCGGAGTGCGGAGATGACTGCTGCATAGATGAAGTGCGTGTACTGCGGCTCGTGCAGCGGAGCGGCGTGCGCAGCAGTAGGACGAAGAGAAGGGCCGGACCTCGTTCGTTGCCTTCATGATTCATCGTTCGCTTTCTCAGTCCGTTATGCCGCGGCAGCGCGCGGACAATGGCACAATGGGTGATCGGCCGGAACAACAACCTCATCGAGAGCGGAGACAGGCGGGGAGTACGAGAGGGGCGCCGCCACTGCCGACGCGACGAAAGCACTCGTGACTGCGCGGTTGTACAGCCCCGTCGACTCCGAGGAGGTGCACATTCATCCTTCCTTCGATGCTGCACTTTGCCGCTGCTTTTGTTTGTATGTATGTATGTATGTATGTATGTATGTATGTATGTATGTATGTATGTATGTATGTATGTATGTATGTATGTATGTATGTATGTATGTATGTATGTATGTATGTATGTATGTATGTATGTATGTATGTATGTATGTATGTATGTATGTATGTATGTATGTATGTATGTAATTTCGGCGCGTCCGTGCGAGGAAGAAGCGATACACTGCGAACAAAAGGAACTGTTCCGATGGAGACGGCTCACATTGTGAAGGATACGGTAAACAAGCGTACGCCTGTTCACAGTTTTTACGGAACTTCTGCTGCACAGGGGAGGGAGGCGGGCGACGAGGCCGAGAAACAGAAGCCGCAGCTGAGGGAGTTGCGGCTCGCTCCTGGACGCCGTTGTAACGGAATAGAGTCCCGTTACTCAGGAACATCCGGGTTATGTCTGTCCGCACGGCAGCCGTGCGCTTCAAAGTTGTATAACGGTCAAATATAACGGCTCATCATAAAACGCGGAAGAGGACGATCGAGAAATCTCCGCTCCTAGGAGGATTGTCGTGGACAACAAGGGCTATTGTTGTTGAGGTTGACGGGATGCATGGCAATCTGGCGCGTTCCCGCACGCCGTGTGTACGAAGGCCTGTTTCGCGTCGCGTTACGATGTCGGATACGCCGCAAAGTGAGTCTGGACGGCAAAAAAGAGTGATTAGGGTTTCGCAACCGTCGGAATAGACGAAGGAGCCATCATCGTCCTTGATCGGAATCCGGAAGTCAAGCAGGGTGAGCGACATTATGTCAATCGTGCACCTGGTCGGAAGTGGGACGCTTACATTGTTGTGTGAACGAGCAAAGTTCAGGATGATATTGTAGCGAGGTCTACAATGGTGGCGGGGTCACTGCAAGCTCGCATGAAAGATCTCTACGCTCAGAGACCGAATGTCTTGTCAGTTACAGGGGTTAAACAGGCGCCTCCGAGTCCGTGGAAACACACACAACCGGAATTTTGACGTCACCAACTTTTATCTATCTATCTATCTATCTATCTATCTATCTATCTATCTATCTATCTATCTGTCTGTCTGTCTGTCTGTCTGTCTGTCTGTCTGTCTGTCTGTCTGTCTGTCTGTCTGTCTGTCTGTCTATCTGTCTATCTATCTATCTATCTATCTATCTATCTATCTATCTATCTATCTATCTATCTATCTATCTATCTATCTATCTATCTATCTATCTATCTAATCATTTCACCTCCGGTGAAGTCAGCCGACGCCGACCGTCTCTGCAGGGTCTTCTTGAGTGCCGACCAGTGGTGGCGATCGGTGACGCACAGCACGATCGGGAAGAGGAATCCCTGGGCCAGTCGCAGCCATACGACTGCCATGTCGTGCCATGGGCTCCAGAAGCCGTCGATGTACGCGCCCAGCACAACCATCACCTGCGCAAGCAAAACGAGAAAAGGATATCAGGACCTGGCCGTGTCCACGTAAAAGAACATCTGACGCTAAAATTGTTCCTAAAGAAAACGACAAGTTATCCCCCATCCTAGAAGTGCACACATCATCAGCAAAGGCATCCGGTCATGGTCAAAGAGCGCTTCTGAGCGAAAAGCCTCGTTAGTTTTTAAAGGGCTCACTGTTTTTCTGTTGAGTCGCTCTTGCATGCCAGCTGCAGAAGCTTTAGGTGAAAACTTGAGGCAGTATACTAACTCTGGTTTCATTAACCACGAGTGACATCCAATACTAGCCGACGTTAGACAATATTAGCTGGTGTTAATCAACGCAGGTAGCGTGCGAACAGATATGGTACGCACCATTGTTGCACCACTGTTCACATTTAGGGCGTACGTGGGTGGGAGACACGCTGAGATGCAATTTCGCCTACCATGTAAGATTGTACAGACAAGTTCGTCGCGTGGTTCTTCTTCTGTAGTTTCTTTGCTAACCTCCGAATTTCTCTTGCACATTTTAGTACAGGTGAAATTTAGTGATTGTTACGAACAATGATTATACCAAGTTCATTAACATCGGTAGAACTAAACAAGGAAGTTCGTGTGGAACATGCACGAGCTTTTGCTCGCGGGCACTTCGTCACGGTGTCCCCAAGTTGTACTATAGAATAAAACGCTATACTCTCCTCTCCGTCTAAGCTACAGTTCTCAATGTGAAGAAGGGTGCACGCTTTCTTTCTCGGTCGGCTGACCCGTCTGATGGACCGCTAAGATTACGCGACCCACAACACGCGGATGACCTGCAGGCATGAAGCGTGTTCCGAGCGGCCTGAGAGTCGAGAAAAATGAACGCCGAGGAGAGTAGGTTAGCTGTAATGAGTGATCCAATTTTCGCGCTGTGCCGCTGCTGTTAGAAACGGTCTACTCGTGTAGCGAAGCAGAAGGAAAGGCCCTATACCACACGTACGGTGCTAACGACGTCATGGGCAGCAGATGTGAATCGGGCTGAACCCTGATCCACTCTGTACACCGGGGTGTGGTCAACTAACAGGGCCATGGACCGCCGCTAATTCTCGGTGCGACTTTGTGGGCGAGGTATACATTTCGCGTGTATACGGAACACGCTGCCGCCCATACTTTGTGCTATAGGTGAGGACAGAGACTTCGCTGATTTCAGCGACATCTGTGTCCTATTTCAGCGTTATTAGTAAAAAGGGGGGCCGGCCGCAAAAGAAACATGACGTCATCTGAAATACTGGCGCCTAAAGGTATTGTTATTCAAACCACCAAACATACATGAAAATATGAACTTGACCATATGACAGTCAGCATTCAAAGTCATAGACATGTTTCTTTGCAGATACTGATGAGGGTACCCAGAGAATACTTCAGCTACTCATTTTATTTTTGTCGTTTTACCAGCTACATTAGAAAATAAAGGAATCAATCAGAATAAAATAAAGCAGTGAAAATATAAATTGGGAACATAATCGTACGATGTCTCTGGCATATTTTCTACTGCGTGTTTTTCACTGCTTTCGACCAAGATATTTCAAGATGAAGGCTGGTGTATTGATAGCATTGCTTTTGTTGTGAGTTGTCCATTGTTTTGTATATGATAGGAAGCAATATACAAAAAAGGAAGAGAACGCGCCAGCAAACCGAAAAGAATTACCAAGACACATCTAAATTATGATTGCGTCACGAAAAAAACTGATACTTTGTTATTTATTCGATTAGCTAGTGCGATTACGGTTTTTAAAACCGGTTAATGCATATGCGTCCCCACAACGCACCCCCCTTACCCCCCCTTTTTTTTCGAGTAAAAGCTAGAAAGGTGAAACAGCCGCCCAATATAAAGAGCACGTTGATCTCTACAAGGCATCCACAATGCGGGGTTTTCTTCCATAACCATTAAGCTTTGCTGACGACTTGGTGTTAGGTATCTTACGTATACGCATTCAGAGCCCCGTTTTCAGCGTCATGCTACCATGCGCAATCCGATCAAATTCCGTTTATTGGGCGCTTACTGTTGATTCAACCGTAATGTGGCGCAGACAGTCCGTCATTTTATGTTATGACTCTAATAAAGAAGAGAAGGTGACTATAAGCATAAAGGCATAAAAAACTCCTCTTGTCATTACGTGCAGTAAAGTTCGCGACTGACTGTCGTCGTACGCAATGCGTATGTGAGATGGCACTCTTCTCAAAGTATACTACGCCTGCTGGGCGAGCTTGTTGCGTCACCTAGAAAATAGCGCGGGAAAACGGAGACGCTGTGTATACGTGTGGTGCTTTCCCTGTCTCACTTCTTGCGCCGCTTTTACGATGAGCAACTGTCGCTCACTACACGTGCCACCACTGCATGCAGAACGGCAGCCCTTTGCCCGAATTCCTCATTCAGGGTGGGCCACTGTTCCACGCTCCACGTAGCCGTGTTTTCATCTTCTCCTTCTTGATCCCACTCTCGCGCGTACCTGGGTGCATTATGCCGGCGTCATTGTTTCGTCTGGGGGCGCGAAGCTCTCTTGTTCCGACATGCCAGAGCTATGCACGTCTTCTCACGAAACCTTCCTTTCTTACGTATTTGAAGTGCACGCTACGTGTCGACGGACGTGCCGCATTCTCCATGTACCGTTGTAAAAGCGGAGGGCGACAAGAAAGAGTGAATTGATGAGCTGTGGTGGTCCAGGGGGTCGAGGACGGGCGAGGAGCCGGCTGTTTTCTGGGTCACTCGAAGCACGCTGGTGTATGGAGTAGTATAGCAGTACGGCAATGGCGGTAACCGCCACTGCGAGCCCTTCTCCTGGCTGGAAGCAACAAAAGGGTTTCTCTGCGCCACCCTAACGACCTGACCACCGAGGGCGAGTTCGCCAGTGTACAAGCACCAGGAAGGGAACGAGCTCCGAGAGCATGCAGGAGACCAGTTATACGGCGGACTCGCGAATGATGGGGACGCGCGCGCATACGCATAAGCTGTGTTAGAGCGGCATCCTCACTGCCCGAGAGGTGAAGGGGCCGCGCGGTTCGACTAAATGGCCGTCTTAAGGCCGTGAGCATAAGCGATTCTCCGCGACCTCTGCGAGGCCGACGTCGCCCTGATGACTCTGTAGACCTTCCGTAGCAAATCGTTGAAAGAAGGAAAAATGAAGAGAGAACGCTACTAAAGTTGCCACGGAAGATCGCAGCCATGAATAAGAAATCGAAAACGCGAGCATATCTCGCACCGAAGAAAGCTTTGGGAAGGCCGTGGTCAAGCAGAGCGCATTCATATGCGCCGCCGATCCTAGCGCGCTCAAACCAGCCCACTGGAAAGAAGTTGCGTGCTTGGTGGTGTATATGGCTGTTCGATAAAGGGAACCTCGTATACCTGTCGGCGTATGAAATTTTTTATTGTATTAAACTAAGAGACCTTTTTACCTCGTTATATGCCTCCGAAAGATGACCCCAGAGCACACTGTGTGCTCTTGAAGAAGTAAGAACAGCCACGCATCCTTGTCTCGTATATGGAAGAATGCGCACGTAGGGCACTCAATTAATGGCATGCAGCTGGTGAATCAGCGCTGGGTCCTCACATCCATGCAGCATCGCTCCCTGGAACGCGCCATCGCACCACACCGACGACCCACAGAATGGGGCATTACGCAACAATGTGACCTCGCACTCCCGTAGGCACGACGGCAATCGACCTTTTTGGGGGCGGCGCACAAGGAGGAGGGACGGGACAAAGGTCAGCCTCTGCAGTATGTACCGGCAGTGGCGTGCGTGGCCCCGCATGCCATCATGGACGAGGGCAGCAGATCAAGAAGGGGGGGACGAGAGTGATCAGCCACGTGCTCGCGAAGAGTCGTTCATACATGAAGGAGAGTGCGTTCACAATGCGCGAGCTGGTCTGGCACCCTCCATCACTCTGGACGTGGACCCCGGCAGGCCGGACACGCGAGAGTGGGCGATGGTCATCATCACAGCTTTACGGTGAATACGTATAAGGGTATATGCGCATGCGGGGTGCTCCTGGACCCCGCGGCGCGGCGAGGAAGACTTGCAGTAGACGTGCTACGTCGGCGAGAACGTGTCGTTGAGGCGGACGCAAGCATTGCGCCCCCACCCCCCTCCCTGTGCACGAACGATTTTAATGGTTGCTGCTATCGCGTGATATAGGTGCTCTACACCCTCGGTCATGTCACGAGTGTTGCCCAAAGCACAGGCGTAAAATGGCACGAGGGTACACGTCTACACTCGAATACAGCTCGGTCGGTATACAGCAAGTGCTCGGACAAACAGACTGCACGCGCTACGCACGCTGTAGAAGAGCAAGAAAACAAGAATACAGGGAGAAGAAAAAAAAAACGCCGAGTAAACTTGTTGTAAAGTGTCGAGATGGCAAGTGTGATTGTCAGCTTAGCCATTGTGCGAATCTTGCATTGTATTGGTACGTGTTTTACAGGTATCCTCAAATAAAAAAATTACTGGAACATATATCTGTTGTAGATCTTCCCCAGGGATGCAGTACAGTCGAGCGAATGGACCATTCAATCGTCTCAGCCGCTACGACCAAATTCAAAGTGAAAAAACTTACGTGGTCCTTTGAAAGTTGAATGCTGGTGGCAGTACGATGCTACAGGCTAAACGGGTAGTATTAAACACGCCAAAACGAACGAATGCCATCCACACTCATTGCGCACACTTTTTCGGCATTTTCCTTCGCACACACTACGCGTTCGTAACACAGCACGCTGATCAGCGTTCTCCAGCGGGCCACAGAGCCCCAGCAAGCCTTCACTGAACCGGTACCAGAGTGCTCCGAAGTGCGGTGAAATCTTGGACCATTTAGAAGCCCTACTCTGACGCACCTACCAATTTAAGCGTGCACTGTTTTTCCACACGTCCGTCCAGATATAGAAAAAGGAAAGATAGTTGGCGGCCCTCGGCGACCAGGTCACGACAATTACGCGTCTATAGTGGGCCGTGAACGCATGCACTGCTTG